TACCCGAACTTCGTCTTTTCGGTCGTAACGCCGCTCGTCTCGAAACTCGCCTCGACCATCGCGAACCACAGCTCGGGGTCGGTCGGCGAAAATTCCGGTATTTTCACCGCGACGCGGCTGACTGTCGATACGGGCGGGGATGCCATCGTACCGAATAAACGTGCGAATGTCCGTGTTCTCTTCCGGAAACTCCCGATCCACTGCCACGAAACCACGAACGAAATGCGACTGCAAAATTCGTGTCGTTCGCTTCCTTTATATCACGTCGGGGTCACCAATGAGGAGGTGGGATCGGCGACGGGAAGAGAGAATTGAACCCGGTTACAATTAGACTATCTTTATTTACAATTGGCGTCGGAACCAAACTCGCGATGCTCGCGTACCGTTCCCGACGAGGGTTCTTACTGAACTAACCATTCGCTCACCGATGCATCCCATCCAGATCATTCTTTCTCATTCTCACGGTTCGCTTTCACTCTGTCCTGGCTAGACGCATTCATTCTACGCGACACTCAAACCAATCGTCTAGACATTCGCTCGACGCTAACGCACAGCATGCAGCCCGGCCCATTCGTCCAAACATTCTTACGCCTTAAAACTAAACACATGGCGGAGACGTGGCGCCGGCTTGTCGCCGCCACAAGGTAAATGAATTGACTTTTAAATAAATTCTCTGCTTGTAAAAAACATACAAAAACACTTACAGTGTTCGATTAAAAAAATCAAGGACACCTTGAAATCTCGGAAGTATGTCCATCCAGCAAAAATTTGGACCATTATAGAATGTCCACCTCGAGATAGGGTAAGGTTCACTTTAAACATTTCTTATAAGGAATTATAGTTTAGGATAGGACTGGGTAACTTCTTTCGACTGCAAGCCATAAGCTCTCACCGTTGGAATGGTGGTTTGGCGGTGGTGGGTGCGTGACTGTGTTAGGGAGAGAAGGAGAGTGGGAGATGTTTCTCGTCCAGGACCCGCTAGAGGACTCATCAGTAAGGCTATCCTAGCGGGCCCTTGCCTTAGACGTTGGGATGTCGGTAGGAAGGACGAAGTCTGTATATATACGAATTGAGGCGGATCGGTTACTTGCGAGAAGAGGAGCCATCTGCTGGCGGGTCTGGAGGTAGCCGCCACAGTGGAAAATGGGCAATTTGGGAAAAATTATAGTTACCGATTGCGAACAACTATAAAAACGAACCACAAAGCTCGAATAATCGTATCTCTTCTTCCCAAATTGTCCATTTTTGTGCACAATCTGAGCATTAATTAGGGAGAATTTACTGTACTTAGGTTCCGTAGACATTACTGCATGCGCCTTACTATACACAACCAGTGCAGCCAGGAAATGTCACTACGCAAGACGAAGCATACTCAGAGAGTTCCACACAACAGCGTGGGGCGTTTACCGGGCGAATATCGCAATTCTGAACTGTGAATGCGACGTGACGCAGAGTCTTTGTCTGATCGTAGTTCAGAATTGTCATGTTCGCACGGTAGACCCCCCCCCCGCCGCGGTGTGGGACTCCCTGCGCATGCGTTGCCTTACGTAGTGACTTTTTTCCTGATTGCACTACACATAATATGGGTAACTTCGCGCACAGGAAATAATGTCATATCGTTTAATTACCACGCCGCAAGCGATGGTGTCGTATGAGGGTGAGAAATGTTTGAATATGCATAGCAGTAACAACATTAAGTATTGTAGGTAGCAGTAACAACAGCTCTATCTTTTTCTATCTCCAAAACTGGAGTCGATAAACAGAATATCGTCCTTCATAACATAATCCGAAACCATTGAAATCGGTAACTGTGTAACGTTTTGACAACTTGACCCTTACTTCTTCAGTTTATATAAAAATAATAAAAAAATAAAAATAATAAATTACACTTTGGATTAATCATTACATTTCATGATTTTACGAAATACAAGCCACGTTTACATGTTTCCATCTCAACTATGACAACAATCAGGAAGTATCTCTTTGTTGTACATTTGTTCTTATATACGCCATCTCTCTCAGCCATAAAAGCATACGTATTTAAGTACAAAATCATGTTTGAGTCTACACTTATTCATAGCACTATACATATATGTAAATTAAATGTTTTGTATTATACAAGCGCCATTGACTGGTTTATTCTTTAAAACAATTTTCACAGCTGCCGCCATGTGGAACTACACCAACAGGTGTTGAAAAATGGATCAAAAAATCCTTGGGAGATCTTCAATTGGACTATTTAGATCTTTACTTGGTTCATACTCCATTTACATTCGTTGAGATAGATGACAAATTGTTTACGCTTGGAGAAGATGGGAATATCATGATGGATACGACTACTGATCATATAAAAGTTTGGAGAGAAATGGAAAAACAAGTAGAGTGCGGTCGAGCACGAGCCATTGGCTTATCAAATTTTACTAAGCGCCAAATTGAACGTGTTATAAAAAATGCGAAGATAAAGGTTTCTACGTTACAAATCGAATTGCATGTCTACTTTCAACAAAAGGAATTAGTAAGTAGCTTGCATATTTCAATAGTGAGTAACTCAATTGCTTAGATTTTAATTAGTATAACCAGTGGTAGACTGAAATATACTGTAAAGGAGTGGAAGCGAGACCTCATAAATGGGATTGGATGGTGCCAATGGATTCCAATGGAAATTTAAAAAGACAGTGTCGATTAGCATATTTCGACCCACTTCACTACTCTGCAGCACATTCCAGACTACCACTGACAAGGAGAACTTACGATTATGAAAATTGCCTTTGAAATGAGAGTGGGTTGAAGTTACAGTACATACCTAACACATCAAAGAACTATAATAAGATTTTTCAAAATACACCTTCGTTTTTGACATATTTTAATTTAAAGTTTGTACGCAACGATTTATGTAGATAATATATATATACAGGATGTTAATTTTAAAATTTTAAATCTAAATCGAGAACAACACATTTCCAGGAAAAATGTTAAATACAAAAGTTACTTGATTTAAAAAACAAATAATCAGATTTTTAATAAATTGAAAAATTAGTTTACTTATTAAATGAAAATGAATGAATTAAAAAATATGAAAATTGCAACCTTTCACGTAGCATTTTAACAAGCACAAAACATAAACACTGCGATTTCTCATTTTCAAAATTTTTCATTTTATTAAATATCCTTGTAAAGTAAAATCTAATTAAAAAATGTTTCATACAAAAGTTTATTCTATTTTCGTACAGAATAAAAATCTGTAATTAAAAAAATATTTTTGCATTTAAAGAAACAAAATTACCCTCCAAATAACCTTCAAACCGAACAACGAAAAAAAAATAAAATAGTTGTATTACCCCCTTGAAATCGAATATTGAACATTCTTCCAAAAAATGTGCTGTTTTCGAGATATTTAGATTTAAAGTTTTTAAGTGAGTTTTGAAGTGTATACATGGTGTCCTAAAAACGTCTCGCAA